AAGTACCTGCATTGAAATATTAATCAAGTATTTTCAATTAAGAAAAACATATAAAATACTTTTATATATGAATTACATTGCAACTATAATATCTAACCATTCGAATTGGTACATCCATCTATACTGGACTGGTCCTCCAGCTTTTACCTCAAATGGTAGATGTATAGGGAGATGCTCCATTGAGTTAAAAAATGATGGAGGGAATATCATCTAAAGTTTGCATAGTGTTTCGATGATATTTGTTTGAAGCCTCTCAATTTGATCAACATTCAACTTGCTAGAGCATGTATCTCTGAAGAAATGACTGGTCTCCGTTAGTGCGTCCCATATTCCCTTTAGCAACAAATCACGAAAAGCTAATGGGATGAATGTTTGCATAAACACGTGGCAGTCATGACTCTTCATTCCATACAATCTACAGTCCTTTATATTAACCAGCCGTGATATGTTCGATGCATGTCCATCCGGAAAACGCAGACTCTTAAGCCATTTATAGACTAACAGTTATGTATTTTTCTCTAACACGAAGCTTACTCTTGGTTCTACGACCCGTGACTCATCATAAACCATCTCTATATTTTTACGGTTACAGTATAAAGCTACATCCAATCTAGCCTTGATGTTGTCCTTTATCTTCCCCTTCACATCCATGATGGTGTTGAAAATGTTCTCAAACATGTTCTTTTCGATGTGCATGATGACAAGGTTATGGCGAAGTAGATTGGTCTTCTGACACGACTAAAAAATTAATGTTTTCTCCCAAGTTCAGGAGTCTCGAAGTAATAAATAACCCGGCAAGACCGGGGTCGAACCATAGGGAGGTTAATTGTACAAATTATAAATAACAATAATACAACAATAATCATAACAACAACAACAACAATAATAATAGTAATAATAATAATAACAATAACAATAACAACAACAACAACAACAACAACAACAACAATAATAATAATAATAATAATAATAATATTAATAATAGTAGTAATAATAATAATAATAATAATAAAGAAAAAGAAGGAGAAGAAGAAGAAGAAGATGAGAACTTTGAGATGGGATATTAACGTAAAGATTTAACAATGATAATAATAAATGTCAAGGTTAGAGGATCCACTAATGGTATGTCAAAAAAGTATAGTATAAACTCTTATTATTCAATTGGAAACCACACACAAAAGAGGTTACAATCAGATTATAGATTGTTAACATGATTACATTAGTCATCTTATTCGATTAATGCTAATACTTGTAAATCTTGTCAAGCATTCATGATTATAACTTATGTTAACAACAAATCATGTTCCTTTCATAGCTTAGGTGTCGGTTATACCATACAGTATGGGCTATGAAAGTGCCAAGCATTTGTTGTATCAAGTGTTATACAACATAAATCAAGATTAGTCATTTAACAAGTAAAGTATTAAAGAGTGAACAAGATAACAAATACAAAACATGTTAGTATCAAACATTAAAGTCCATATTAAGTTTACACTATACTTATTCTTATACCATTAGT